TCTTTCGATCTATTTTCAATTAGTATTGTGTTCTCTCTCTCTCTCTCTCTCTCTCTCTCTCTCTCTCTCTCTCTCTCTCTCTCTCCATTTCCATAAATTAATGTTAGGGAAATAAAAGAGATGACATATGCACAAATGAGGCTTTAACTAACAAGTTGTTGGTTTTGTAGATAATAACTAACGTCGCCCATTTTCCCATATACAGGTCTGTGGATCAACACACAGATAACTGTAAAATGAGAATATGCAGCAAAAACACGGTAGCCCTCCAAGCAGGCATGGAATGATAGTAACCTTATGCATTTTATAGCCTCTCCATGGTGTGTATAATTTCACCAGAGAAATACATGATCAACATTCAAAGAATATCGCTCAAATATTTCACAGACTTATGCCGATGATAAAAGTTTGTCCTCTAAGCATCTTAAATTGCTTGGACAAGCAGTTGGCAGCTGGTAACTTCTTTATGGTGAATTAATAAACACCGTGAATATCCACTTGAGACCTAAAATGCACAAAGTTGAAGCAGGTGAGTGACCAACCTTGGCGAAATATCGCATCCTTGCTGCATAAAGGCACCCAAGGAAAACCAGAGACTATTAAAAATCCCAAATTCATTAGTTGATTCACTACTTTGTGTTTCTCTTCCATCTTCAAACTCCTCAGTGTGCCACTCGTAGGGGCTAAATCTGCTGACCAGGAATAAAACTACACTGACCCCAATGTAGGCAAAAACAATGCACATCCAGATCTCATAGGCTAAAGGATCAAGAAATGAAAACACTCCTGGTTTGGACTTCTGAGGCTTCTTGATCATGATAGATATCCCAAGGCTCATGAAGGGTTTGGAGAAGTCGATCACCTCTTCTCTCACAAGGGTGATAGTTAATGGAGCAATTGCAATGTCAGCTTTCTGTAAGGGAAAGAAAGGAAAGTAACAGGACCTGGACTCATGGTCAGAAAGGAGTTAAGGCTACATCATGGAATGGGGATGGGGAAGGAAAGGAAATCAGAGAAATGGAAGTAAGTATGGTTCTGAGTCTAAAGTATAAGCAAAAAGGCAATGTATTCAGCCACCTTCATTATAAATAAATAATTAACCTATCTGGTTGGGCTGAGGTCATTATGCATTTATATTTCATTTATTACACTTTTGAAACTGTTGGATAATATCTGTGCCTTGAGACAGGTGATGTGCATGGTTCAGTTAATTTACTTCTGGCTTTCAAATGCCAGAAAGGAAATAAAGTAGTATTTATAGAGTATTATGGGATGCCAACAAACAGAAATATGGGTATTTAAAAGAAAAGGTGGCCATTCTGACAATGGTTTGAATTGAATGATTATCTATTAAGTGATGTATACTTACCCCATACACAAGTTCTCCAACCATACCATTCCAAATTTTGGTGTCTGCATCCCTGGCCCCATACTTGCCATCCCCAACAATAGTCAACTTATACTTGAACCCACAATGTTTGGCAATTTCTGCAGCCAAGTCAACACAGTAGCCCTCATAACGTTCGTTCCCTTCAAGCATTTCATGATTTTTCTTCATCATAACATAAGGAGATTCCTATAAGGAAAGAAAACATGCCATTTGATTATCATGACTGAATTAATTACATACTGTCACTGTGTCAGAATTCAGAAATTAATAATTGCTTGTTAGTGACGATTGGTATAAGTAATATGGTAGACATTATAAGAAAAATTAGAAACAGCGATCCTACAAGCAAAACCCTTCAAATGTCTACATTATAATCATTAAGATGACTATACCTAGCCATATTAAAGTAGGTAATATTCTCAAACTCTGTCAACACAGTCCCTCGTCTTGCTTGTTATCCCTAAATATTACAGAGGAAAAATGCTGCTCAAAGTCTATTACACTCAATTTTGGGTCTACTCATCCTTGTTCTAAGTTATGTTTACACCAACCCCAAGTACCAGCCAAAAGAACCAGCCAAAGCTGTGTGTCTGCAGCTCAAGGGTAAGTTTCATACAGGAATCAGCTGCATATGCACTGATATATAAACTAAAAGAACTATTGTCATGGCAACATGATTGGACTCCTGCAAGCTTCCCGTCTCATGTCTGTGAGATAGAATACACTAGAAAGATCCTGCAAATGTGGCTAAAGAGGATCTCTCCTGTAAACATAAGAGAGAGGGTACAGTGATACAGCAAATCTCACATTATCCACTGGAGAGTGGAATCAAATGTACCTGAAATCTAAGTGGGGTAATTCCTCTCAATGACATGATGAGAGTGAGAATCGCCAAATATCCAGCCTACTCTTACTAAGAACATTCCAGGTGCCAACTAGCATATCAATATTTTTCACCTCATTTATTAGCGTAGCGAGTTCACTACTAAAGTAAAGCAGAGAACGATCACTTAATCTCAAAAACATGTCCTGTAACGAGCCCCATGCTCTCCCCCTCACTTGTTCCACAGCTTGTCCTTGTGGTCCCCATTTCCCTTATGTCAGTGCAAATTCTAGATGTTCTACATTCAATTCAGCTTTACCTCTTTCTTTCAATATTCATTTATTTGAAACTGCACATGGAAACCACTGTCTGTGTTCAAATATAAGGTAAACCAGAGATTGTCTATGGTTCATTATGAAGAAAGAAGAGGGGAGAAGGGTAAAGATGAGCCAGAGCTGAGTCAGATTCCAAAGGAAGTGTGAGGAACAAGGAAAGACTTTGCTCCACTCTTGTCCTGTATACGCAGCAGGACATGAATTAGTTGTCAAGCTGACTTTCAGTCTTCCATAGTGGAGAACTTTCTGACTGCTTCATCCGGAACATGTGCAGTCTTTTATGAAGAGTAAGCATGCAACATGATATATTGCAAAATGTTCAATGAGTTAAACATTATAAGCGCAGTCAGATAAAGTTACTACACTAAAATATAGATATCATTCTCTTGGGTGGATATTTTGAAAAAGAAAAAAAAAAGTCCCATATAGGCACATGCATTAATTACCAATATCGTGGTGACAACAACAGTTTTATTCTCAAGTCCGGAGGTGTCATTTCCAGAAGGCAGCTCAGTAAGGGTGACAACCATTTTATCCACTTCGCTCCAGTATCCAATCTGAAAAAGGTCAGAGCAGGTAAATGTGTGGAGAATTGTCAGGTCTTCTAGTAAAATAATTAATGCATCTTAAACCTATGTCTGAATCCAAAATACTGTTCAAATTAACCTGACTTCTAAACAATAGCAAAAAAAATCCATATTTATATATGTGAATCTAATTGGTATAAAAACTATATTCAAAAACAATTCTTAAAATTGGCTTTTATCTTAATATCTACTTTTCATAGCTTATGTACTTATTTCTTGTGTTATTGAGATAGGATCTTGCTATGCAGCCATGGCTGGTCTGGAACGTACTATACAGCCCAAGTTGACATTCAGCTCCTAAACCTCTTGCCTCAGCTTCTCTAGTTCAGAGATTATAGTCATATGCCACCACGCCTAGCTTTCTTTTCATATATTCTATGTAGCTTGTTTGAGAGGAATAATTTTTATATATGTAAATATATTCCAAACATTGTTCTTTCAGCAATAATATTTTAAAGAAAAGGTATTGAATTTAGCAGTCACATGCAGGTTTGTGCAACTAGCTATTTTTTCTTCTAAGTTCATTTAATCCTTAGCAATTGTTCTTTATCTTCTCATCAAAGTCTTTCTATTAAACTAAGAAAATTAACAGTTCTGCTTACAAATTAGAAAAATTAATTTCTTTAAAATATTTTTAAACTTCTATGCATATGTGTATGTGCTTGCATGAGTGTATGTGTACCACATATATGTAGGAGACTTTGGAACAGAATGAGACATCTGATCAGCTGAAACTGGAGTTACAGAAGGTTGGAAGTCATCATATATGTGCTGGGAATCAAAGCCAGGTCCTCTGGAAGAACAGTAAGTGCTCATAACCTCTGAACCATCTTTCCAACTCCAAATGTTTAAGATATTTCAGTGATACGAAAAATGAATAGATTTGAGTCAGAAAATAAATTTCCAGAACCAATTAGTTTCTAGAAGTGTCTCACCTCTGTCTATGGGTATATTCTCTCATGACTCTGGGAAAAATTCATGGTGGGACTCACCTCCTCACAGGGAGAGATTCCTGTTTTAAATCCCTAAAGATTTACCTTCCTGGGCCCATTTGTTTTGAGCTCCATGATGTTAATTGTGTAGTTTATTCTTTTTCCATTCTGGTCAAACTTTATATTTCCAGAAAGACCTTCAACCTGAACCTAATGATAGGATGAATGGAAAAGCAGAAGGGTTATAAATTTACTTCAATCTAAGATACAGACTGTGCAGATTGCTGGACGAAAAAATACACTGAAAAATTTACTTTAATAAATTTTTTGTTAGTTATCCAATCACCCTTTATGTTCTGAGGAAATAGGTTGGCCTGTGTGGTAAACATAATGAATAAAACAAGGATGACTAATTTGCTTGGGAAAAATCTTCAGGACTGTATGGACTTACACCAACACTCATGCTGTGGAACTGACCTGTTTGAGGGCCCTTTCTATTTCTACACCTTGTCCCCAAGGCACTGCTGGGTTGGCCAGGCAATCTCCTGCATTGCCCCTCCGGGAGATCTCAATCCTCTGCTTCCGAAGGTTGCGAAATGCTTCAGTCATCACTTGAACAGCATCATAGGTCAGTGCAGAAGTATACTAAAAATGAGCAAACACAGCTTCTGTGAATGGGAGAAAATTCAGCGCTTTGCAACACACAGGCCATCTGGACTGCTCTTGTCTTCTACAACATAAATACTTGGCGGGAATGTCTAAGAAGTTAAACAGTTTCAACTGATTACTTTAGCATCGAGGAAAAGAATGGACTATTGGGATGTTGGAATCTGCTCTAGGCTATAAACATTTCTTAGCATCTTAGTACCTTAGCTAATTTAATGAAATTTTAAAAATATTCTTTTGCTATCAGTTTCTCATTGAAGTATCACTTTACGGCCATCTGTGGTGATACACAAACTTTTCAAATTAAATCATTTCTCTTTCATATCTAATAAGAGATTAATTGGTCAAAGTAAACAGAAAATAGATTAATTTTGGGATCCCAAGACTGTAATTTGACCCTGGTGATGCTCGCATGTACCTTCAATCTTACGGTGTTCTTAGAATGATGACTTAAGTCTCTGAGTGTTTCTGATGATGAAGTAGAACTGCACCTCATGCTTTTTATATTTTAACATCCTTTGAGAATACTAGTTCAGACTTACAGTGCCTGATTAGGTTTTAATTCTATGCCTGTTTATCACCACCATCTCTGTCACTACTGCTGCTAATCATCAATGATAATTTTTCCTCTTCATCTCTTCAGCAACTTGATCTATTTCAATGACTCAAATAATTTCTAATACTTTCTAAATAACATGGCCTCCACATGCTTCTCTCTCTACAAACTACTGCTGATGGTGTTGCTGTGTGTGTGGTGAAGAGCAATAGGTCACCAGATAAAACTTCATGGCCTTGTCACCCACAGAATGTTTAACCTCCACAATACAGTTACTCTCCCGAATTCACAGTGCAGAGATGGCCACACTTTCCCCAAGGGGCCTCTCCTGTGGGGTTATGATTTATCCCTCTGATTTGCTTAAAGACATTATTTCTGGAATAACCTCTCTCTCTCTCTCTCTCTCTCTCTCTCTCTCTCTTTCACTGGATCATCTCTATTAGAAATCTCAACCTGTTTAATATCTCTTACCATACATAAAGAACTGAGAAGAGAAGAAAGGCGGGGAGGGGAGGGGAGGGAGAGGGAAGGAGAGGGGAGGGAAAGGGGAGAGAGAGAGGAGGGGAAAGGAAATACTTTGAGAGGAACTTCTGAATTGTGGTCACGTGTCAATCCTCCTAGCTTTCAACAGGTGCCTTGGTTCATGGCTTTGAATGTCATTCTCACTCTCAAACACTTCTTGGGTACTATGTTTCCTACACAACCATTGCTCACTTACTCTTCTGACACTACTATGCTTTCTTTATGTCTTTCCTAGCATCTGCCCACCCTGTGTGCATGTTCTTTGTTTTCTTCACCTTTCCTCCCCACTAGAATAAGTACTTCAGAAAAGGGTAGATCTTGCTTGTTACCAGTGGATTCCTAGACTAGGACAAGGCTTGGAACAAGGGAGGAAGAGAGGAAGGGAGGAAGGGAGGAAGGAAGGAAAGAAGGAAGGAAGGAAGGAAGGAAGGAAGGGGGAGGAGGGAGGAAGGAAGGAAGGAAGGAAGGAAGGAAGGAAGGAAGGAAGGAAGGAAGAGGGCTGAGGAA